TATATATATATATATATATATAGGAGACTGCTATGTCGTGGATTCAGTGCAATCTGCTGGCTTCCTTATATAACTTTTACCTATTGGTGTTGAATGTTTTTCTTCAGTGCTCTGAGACAACTTCTTTTGTGACTTGTCACTAGATAAACAAACTGAATTGAATTGAATTCAGTCAGGTCAATGGGAGTTGGCTGTTCAGAGCTGTGGAGGGTCTAATTCTTCAGCCTGCATTCATGTGGAACATATTTTTTGTATTAAATGTTTATTTGTGCAACATTCAAGTGTGTTTTTGCTCTTTACATCCAAACTAAAACAATTTTGTTGGATGAGATGAGTGGTAGGACTCGACAGCAATGTCCAGCCAGGAAAGACAGACCTCTTTAGGTTAAACCACTTCTCTATTGTTAAGTACCAATCTAATTGCTTCATTTGTATTTGGTTCTTCTCAAGTGTTGGTGTGTCTCCACTGTAACCAACTCCCCCACTCTGTGAGTGTGATTATTACATCAAAGAGGACAAAGTAGGCAGGATCTTCGTAGCTCATTTTCTGTTCGACACTTTGGGCCAGTCATCGTCTGTAGTCTGTGTGATGATCTCACATGTTCTCATCATTCGTGAGCACAAAAAGCAGCAGCAGCACGTCTGATGCCACTTGCTTAGGTCTTCTGTAGTTTTGTTATTTTTTTTACTTACAGTTGAAACTACTTTGTACTTAATGATTAAAAACTGGCACTACTGAACCTATTGAAGCTTGTCCTCTTCTAATAATATATTTCTATATATGTTTTAGGCATATCCTCCTAAAAAGCTGCATCCTGGTATTGAGGACATCTTTTTTTGAGCGGTTGTCCTAAATCAGGGAGATTTTAATAAAATAATAATAATAATAAAACAAATATGGATATTTTTAACTCTTCGTTGATTAAAAATAATGTAAACTTGTTAACATGCACACAAAGTAAAACGCTTGAGACTCAACAGGGTACTGCCCTCACAGCAAAAGTTCATTGGTTATTTTCGATAATTAACTGAGAGTTTCAATAAAATTCTTCTTCTGGTTTATGAGATATTTTGCTGACAGACAAATTTATACGCACAAAGAGACACAATTAGAGAATTAGACTTTAATTTTAACTTTGAATTATATAGGGAATCATGCTTTCTGCAAAAGTGGCCAATTTGATATTCTTGAAGGTCAGCAGCACCACCCCCCCCCCCCCCCCCCCCCCCCCCCCCACACACACACACACACACACGGTGATTTAGTGAGCTTTCCGTCCAATCCATGTCCTGGCTGGGACAGACAGAGGGGGCACAGCAGGATCTGTCTCATGTCCTCCTCCAATGAGATCCGGCTGCTCCCGGCCCCTCCCAGCGATGATGTAATGTCATGAATAATGAAACAGGTTGGCTGATGGTCGGGGGAGGCAGCATCTCCTCCGCCTCCTCATCACTGCTCCGTCCCTCAGCATCCCAGAGAAACACGAGGACAAAGGTAGGAAACGGATTTGTTGGGTCTTTATTTCCAGAGGAAAGGTTGTTAAGACGGTCGAGTTGTACTTGAAGGCATCATTCAGCAGCATGGAGGACAACCTGACTGTGGTGGGTCGGTTTACTGTTGCTGCCTTCAGAGGCGGTGGTTATTTAGAAAACTGTGCAAACAGTTCCGCTTTTCAGGGATTAGACCAATTTACTAGTCCTCAGTCAACCACTGGATGAAAGATTGAGACAGAATGGAAAAAATCTGATTCTTGTTCTGTTTGAAACCAAAGAAACAACAAAACGAGTCAAGTGATCGTTTTATTTACGGCCTCATATCCTACTGACTCATCCAGCATGTGGGAAATGATGATGAGGATGAGGATGATGGCTGAAGCAGCTCCAGTCCTCTCTGTCTAGTCTTGATGTGGCTGGTCTTTGTGTAGAACCGGTGTGGTACCAGATCAGGGGGCTCGAACATCAGTGTGTATGTGTGTGGGATGGGGGTGCGGGGTAATTGGAGGGATGGGGGGGGGGGGGGGATTGACTGTCTGCTTCCTCAGGTCAGTGGCACTACATCGTCCTCACCCTGTGGACGCACGTGATGCGCATTACCCGAGCTGCAGCTGTCTGATCTGATCAGGTCCAGGTGGTGGTCTCACCCACCTGCTGACAGCAGTTCAGACTTGTTGGTCTTTCTTTGTGAAATGCACGAGACACTCCTCTCTTTCCCCCCAGTTTACCCCGGATGAAGGGGATGGATGTCGAGGATGAGCTGATCCTCTGACACCAAGATGAACCCAGCTTCAGCAGACTCGTCCCGGCAGTCCGACAGCAGCAGCGGCCGGAAGCAGCAGCAGCAGCAGCAGCAGCAGCAGCAGCAGCAGCGGTCCTCGTCCCCGGCGGGTCTCAAAGACTCAGGAGCCAAAGCTGCGCAGAAGGGCAGCAGCTCTGCTAAAACTAAGCCAGCATCCGGAGGAGGAGGAGGAGGGAGAAGCAGCCGCGGTCATTCTCCTGTCTCCGCAGGCAGGGAGCGGCAGGCCGGCAGAGGCGCGGCTGCTGTCCAGCCTGCTGGTGCTGAAAGCCCGCAGCCCAGCCGGGCCGCCCTGCCGGCTCCTGAGGACTCCCCCCGCCCCGCCGCCGCGGACAGCCCCTCCTCCTCCTCCTCCTCGCCCTCCAGAGCCGACCCGAGCCGCGTCGTCTCGGACCAGCCGTGCGCGTCCAAATCCCCGAAGCTGAGGAGCAAAAAAGCGAGGAGGGAGGAGGAGCAGCAGGCCGCCGCGGGCAAGAAGAGCAGCAGGAGCACGGTGGGCTGCGGGCCCGGCTTCTGGAAGGAGGGATGCCTGCAGACAGAACTCATACAGTTCCACCTGAATAAGAGCCTGGGCAAGAAGGGCACCAAGATGCAGGCCAAGTCCGCGTCACCGCCGGCGTCCGAGCCGGAGCTGTCCCCGGAGCCCGACAGTCCTCAGCGGGCTCCACACCCGGACCACAGGCTGCAGGAGGAGCTCGAGAGGCTGGAGGACGAAAACGACGACCTGAAGGTACGTTTTAGTTTAGAACACGTGGTAGTGCAGGAGTTTGCTGCAGACTGCATGTCACCCGCCAACTTTCACGCCAGATATTTAAACTAAACTTTGGTGCTAACAGGGACAAAGTTGTGGCCGTTGTGATCAAACCTTCCATGTTATTGTGACAGAGCTCAAACAATGTGTTGAGGATGACTTGCAGCTACTACCACCTAATTTTAGCTCATTAGCTAAAACGGACAGATTTATTTTGGGTGGTGAATCAGGTTGACTTCGAAAGTCAGTCAGTTGCAGATCTAGTGATTATATTTAAGAAAGTTTTATTAAAACTTGTTCAGTGGGTCACACAATATTTAGCAAATGTTACAAAAAAACAAACAAAACAAAGAGACATTATCACCATCAACCATGGACAGTAATTATCTGAAGCATTATTACTTTTGTTTTTTGGTCAGACTGAAATTAACGAGATGCGAGCAGAGATGGATGAGATGCGGGACACCTTCTACGAAGAAGACGCCTGTCAGCTGCAGGACATGCGCAGAGAGCTGGAGCGAGCCAACAAGAACTGTCGGATCCTCCAGTACCGGCTCAGGAAGGCCGAGAGGAAAAGGCTCAGGTTCACCGAGAGCGGTCAGGTGGATGGAGAGTTACTGAGAAGTCTGGAGCAAGACCTGAAGGTGAGTCATCCTCTGCACTCTGCCAGGAATGTTTTCTAGTCCAGCAGCTTTCTGAGGGTCAGCTCTACATGAGGTTTTCCACACATCGGCTGCAGCAGCACATTGCAAGTGATCACTGGGAAGAGTGGTGGTCTTTCTCGGTGCCACATTGTTCTGTGGCATAAAAGTTGGAAGAGAGAAGTACCACCGTCATCAGCAGTTGGTATTGTTGTGCAGTTGATGATGCTAAGGGTGATCTGACCACGTGCACAATTTTCTTCACTGATTGCCCCGGACAGTTTGGCCCTCACCTTTCTCAGGGCCACTTTGAAGGCTGAGTCACAAGCCCTCAGCAGTGTTATTCCACTAAATATGTGATTCAAAAAGAGAACATTTATCACCTCTTCTGTCTCGGTCAGGTGGCCAAGGATGTGTCGGTGCGCTTGCACCATGAGCTGGAGAACGTGGAGGAGAATAGGACAAAGACTGAGGAGGAAAATGAGAAGCTGAGGCAGCAGCTGATAGAGGTGGAGGTCACCAAGCAGGCTCTGCAAAATGAACTTGACAAAGCAAAAGAGGTGAGGCTTTTCTTCTTCATTATCTGGTAGATACCATGCAAATAAGTTTGACTGGCACCAATATCTCTTGTCAGGTGACATTTGAACCTAAAGTGTGCCAAACCTATCATAACTAAACTTTGTTTTGCTGAGCATCATTATATCTTTGTGTAAGTTGTAAGTGTAATTTGCTGTTTTCCCGTGAATGCACCTGGAGCTTTTCTGGTTTAAATCCATCCATCTTTACCCGTTTATTCCATTTTGGGTCACCGGGGTCGCTGGTGCCCATGTCCAGCAATCACTGTGCGAGGGGCGGGGTACACCCTGGACGGGTCGCAAGTCCATCACAGGGACACATAGAGACAAACAAGACAAACAACATTCACTCTCTCACTCACACCTAGGGACAATTTAGAGTTACCAATCAGCCTAACATGCATGTTTTTGGTCTGTGGGAGGAAACCGGAGTACCCGGAGAAAACCCACGCATGCACGGAGAGAACATGCAAACTCCTGGTTTAAATTACTTCTTTAAAAATGTCAAGTAAATAAAGACACTGATGTTTATGTTTCCTCAAGCTGTCACTGAAAAGAAAAGGAAGCAAGGAAGGGCAGAAGACGGAGAAAAGGGCACCACAGACCCCAGTCGAGGTAAGTAGCAAATACAAAACTACCAAGTCAGAGATTATATAAGAAACTAAAGGTATTTGAAAATCCTTAACATCACACCAATAATTACTCCTTAAAAGGAGGAAAACGAGGATCTGAAATGCCAGCTAGCCTTCATCAAGGAGGAAGCCATCTTAATGAGGAAAAAGATGGCAAAAATCGACAAGGAGAAGGATCGCTTGGAGCAGGAGCTGCAGAAGTACCGGTCCTTCTACGGGGACGTGGACAGCCCTCTGCCGAAAGGAGAGGCTGGAGGGCCTCCAACCACCCGTGAATCTGAGCTTAAGCTCCGTTTGCGGCTGGTGGAGGAGGAGGCCAACATCCTGGGGAGGAAGATTGTAGAGCTGGAGGTGGAGAACAGAGGACTGAAGGCAGAGCTGGATGACATGAGGGAGGACAGGTGCGTTCGTTTTCACCTGAGACCTTTAGTCTTAATTTAGAGTGACTGTTTTTTGATGAAGAATTTTTTTTTTTTTTTAATTTTAGTTGTTAAATCTAAAAGGATCAAATCACCAGTTAAAAGCTAAAATAAACCGAATGCTAGCTAAAAGCCATATGTATAAAAATGCTGGCAAAAATGAGCAAAATCCTAACTAGAAGTTGCAAAACACTAGCTAAAAGCTAAGAGAAGAAGACCACAAGCTGGGAGGAGCAAAACACCAGCTAAAGCTAAAACCAAAATGCTACCTAAAATACTAAATACTAACTAAAACTATCAAAACACCAGATAAGAGCAAAAAGAAATTGAATGCAACTTAACATCTATATGCACCAAAGCACTAGCTAAAAGTAGCAAAATGCTAATAAAAGTAGCAAAACACTGTCTGATAGCTAAAATGAGAATGAATGAGTAAAACACTGTGCAAATGCAAAGAGAAATAGAATGCTACTTAAAGGCTATATGTACTAAGAATGCTAGCTAAATGTGGCAAAATGCTAACTAAAAGTCTAAAAAAAGCTAAATCTAAAAGAAACAGATCAGCTGAAAGCTAAAAAGAAAAAAAACTATTTGCTAAAAGATGAAAGAAACAAAATGCTAGCTAAACGTAAAATGTATCAAAATGCTAAAAACAGCAAAATGTTAACAAAATGTAACAAAACACTAGCTAAAAATTAGGAGTTTTTCAAAGTGAGCTAAAATCTAATAAAATAAAATAAAATCCTAACTTAAAGTTGAAACTTTCAACTTGAAAGTAGCCAAATCCTAATTTAAATGTAATGGAGCTAACTGCTAAGCATGCCAGGAGTTGACGTATGAACATGTTAGCTAAAAGTTCAAATTAGCAAAAGTCAATTTAAAATTAACAACTTAAAGCAGCAAAAGAAGACAGAAAATGGAACAAATGTGATGAAGCAAATTTCAGAAAACATTTTAAAGCATTGAAGAGATCTTAATGTATTTCTATATGGGAAATATTTGTAAGTTAAATACGACAAATTATAAAATAAAAAGTGAATACACCAATCTGCTGAATAAACTGAATAATTAGCTTTTTGAATGACTAAAAAGCACCAAGTTTGCAGTATTTGGTTAAAAAAAATAAAATAATAATAATAATCAGACAACTTATTATGTGAACGCTGAATTAGCATTCATGCTAGTAGACCAGAAGCAACAACTTTTATTAAGGAAGAAGTTGGTATGTTGTTATGTATGTTATTTCATTTTGACATGCTTTTGTTCCAGCCTGGCAGCAGCAGGGGTGGATGGCTCTGGCAGTGGGGGCCAGCAGAGCCGGGAGCAGGGGGAGGCCATGTCTGAACTGAGGCAGCAGCTTCAGCTGGTGGAGGACGAGGCTGAACTCCTCCGCAGAAATTTAGCAGATGTAGAAGAAGAAAACAAGAAGGTGAGTTGTGTTAAAAAATACTGATTTTTGCTGTAGACTTACTGGACCATTTTTCTTCCTTCATCATGGAGTGAAGAGGGGAATGGGAAATAACCTCTGTTCATCCATCCGCCCATCCGTCCATGCATGTTGTGAGCATGATAACTTGAAAAACAAGTAAGGTACGGACTGCAATTTTGGTGTGTGGCTACATCTTGGTGTAAGAAAGGTTCATTTCAAAATTGTGTTGCCACATAAAAAAATTCAAGATGGCTGCCACCATATGTTAATTAACCTTGTTCGATGGATAATTAGAAAAATAATCATGTCCAAATTACAAAAACTACAAACATTAACTATTCAAATCCCTCAGTGATGGGGGACATGGGCTTAATGTTTATGCTGTAAACAGACTGTTTATTACTCTACATTTAGTTTTATGAGCACTTTATAAAATATGTCTCTGCTACACTTCACTGCTTTATTCTAGTAATACGCTGCATGTCTCACCTTTTCCATCTGCCAGTTATGGTGCAATTAAGGGAAATTGAAGCATATTTTTTAAAAGCTTTTCCTGTTTGAGCAGCAACATCTTTTACATCAACTCTGTTTCACCTTTAGGTGACAACGGAGCTCAACAAACTCAAATACAAGGCTGGGTCCCATGAAGCTGGATCAAGACATGGAGGAGGTTTGCCTTTATTTGAATCACTGCTGCGTCAGGTAGACAAAGCCTATAAAAACAGAATCAGAATCAAATTTATTGTCATTGCACAGTTTGGTACAGTGAAATTTCGTTCTGTACAGCTGTCTGAAAAGTAGACGGACGTGTACCGGGGCTGCGGCTCTCTATGAGCGCTGCCCTTATCACTTAGGCAAGAAAAGGGGAAGAAAACATGAGGAAACAAGGTATTTAAAAAAGATCTCACACCGTGTCCTTGACACAGGGCACAGTGTAAGGTAGCAAAAAATTCAAGGTTCAAGGATTCAAGGTTTTTTATTTGTCATTCCACCACGTGTAGTACATATGGTGGAACAAAACTATGTATACAGAGTCCCAGTTACATCCAACAAATGTATTAAAATGTAAAAGAAAAACAGTAATAAGATATAAGATATGAACTAAGAAAAACGTTAATAAAAATACACTAAGCACTATTTTGCTTTTGGAAACTAATTCCTCTTTTTCTGAATGTAAATCACATTTTTTGGATGATTGTTTCCTCTGGTATCAGATGCTGTGCAGCTGGAAGGATTTTTACGGAAACTTTTTTAGTTTTGGACATTTGTTATGATGCGTAACCATGGCAACAAGGCAGTTTTCTACAAACAACAGCAGCTGATTAACATCTCAAAAGCTCAAATAATATCTCAACTACAGCCCCAAATCTCAAATGAGTTGAAAAGGATGTTCTGTGGATGTATTCTCATCTACCAGCCAGCTGTGCTCAAGTGCACCCGCTTTGGATGTTATCAGCCATTAAATGGCTGTTATTAGTTTTTATCATCTCCATATGTAGCGGTCAGACTGCCCCTCCTGTACCTCCCAGTGGGTTTAAAGGTACGCTGTTAGTGTTGTTAGCGATGATAATCGGCTCTATTTTTAGCTTTGTTAGCGCACATAACAGCTTCACGTGGTTAGGTTTAGAGTAAAGGGTCTGGCGGTTAGGTTTAGGGTCTTGGTTAGGCTTAGGCACAAGGGTAAGGGGGTTAAGTTTAGGGTTGGTCCTCAGGGTCAGGTGTAAGCTTACATTTAGAAAAAGGGTTACATAAGTTGAAAACAACTAAAGACACTTCCTGGTTTACCCTCGTGTGACGCTGCCTATTATCAGCAATAATAACGATAAAAACATACCTTTAAACCTACTAGGAGGTAGGTGGGACAGTTTGACCGCTACGTATAGGGATGATAACAACTAATAATGACCATTTAATGGACTGATAACATCCGAAGCTGCTCTCGAGTGCCTGACCACTAAGATCCCGGAACTAGCAGGAAACATGGCTCGTGACAGTGGAAGGACAGGATCATCCCTCAGCACCTATAGTTGGCTGTCCGTTGCAACGAGGAGCTCGGCAGACTGCTGGGAGGAGTGGCCATCGCTCTGGGAGGTGTTCTGCCCGGCATTCGGGTGGTCCTACAGACCGGGGGAATCAAGAGGCCGAGTCTGGGTGGACGGATCAGACGGCATCTGCTGCCAGTTTCTTAGGATCCACTGTGGGATGGACCTTTACAAGAGATCCTTACTGTCTACAGCCATCAGTATCTATAACATCTCTTAATGAAATGAGGAGTTACAACAACAAATAATTTCCCTTTGGGATTAATAAAGTATTTTTGAATTGAATTGAAGTAGCATAAAAACAATACGCTGAACAGCAGCACGAATGTGAGTCTAAAATCGACCTCAGCAAGCATCATAGAGAGACATGATATATTTTGTAGGGGGGTGGGGGGGACGACAAGATGGTGAGATTGTCCATGAACACTTCCATATTGTTTCCATAGTCCTGATAAAGATGTTGCAGTGTCTCTTAGCTGGTCCACTCTGATAAGGGTCCACAGATGTTCTCGGGGGGTGGGGGAGGGTTTTTTTAGGGGGGTATCCGAGCATCTTGTTTCCATAACATCCAAGGAGAAATTGAGATAGTCAGCCTTCCAAGGCCAAAGCCAGATTCAGATTTCAACACTGTTTTGGGTCAAGGCCGAGCTCTTTAATATCTCCATCTGCCTTTTACAGTCTCACTAGTTCATCTCATGGCGACTCCAAACAGCTGAATTGTGATTACTTACGTGAAGTCGGGCTTACAACTTCTCCAAGACCTCTTCCTTCCAACCGTCCGTGAACACTACCGCAAAGTTCCACAGTCCTGTTCAGCTCTGATCCAGGTCCACAGATCGTTTGCACACAGTCTGAGTGTTGCCACGCCCGGCACACACATTCCAGACAACTTAAACAGCTGCTGACGTTTCCAAATTTGTCGACAATCCAGATTTCCATCATCTCCAAAAAGCAGAATCCAGTTATCATAAATCCAATTAAGTTTTCGAGAAGAGGGCTCTCATTCACCCTGTCTTCTTGTGGGAAAATTTGGAACCACCAGAATTCTTCTGAATTTCAACCCTTTTTATGTTCTAATCCCTCAGGTGGAGGTGATCTGGCTAAAGTAGAGGCCCTCCAGGAGGAGCTGAAGGCGGCCCGCCAGCAGATCAATGAACTGAGCGGCAAAGTCATGCAGCTTCAGTACGAGAACCGTGTGCTGCTCTCCAACATGCAGCGCTACGACCTGGCCTCCCACCTGGGCATCCGCGGCAGTCCTCGGGACAGCGACGCGGAGAGTGACGGAGGACGGGATGATGACACGCCCTCGGCCTCCGCTGCTTCCCCGCGCCTCCTCCCACCCCATCGCAAACGCGAGGGCCCCATCGGTGGCGAGAGCGACTCAGATGAGGTGAGGAACATCCGCTGCCTCACCCCGACACGCTCCCTCTACTCGCCCGTCGACAGCCGTTTTTTATCCAGAAGCCTGAGGGACCGGCAGCAGATGATTGACATCCGCATTGAGGCGGAGAGGCTGGGCCGGACCATCGACAGGCTCATCGCCGACACCAGCACCATCATCGCAGAGGCACGGGTTTACGTCACCAACGGGGAGCTGTTTGCCCGGCTGGACGAAGACGAAGAAGGCGGCAGGTATTAAAGTTCGACAACTCTTCAGGTTGAAAGACTTCTGTTAGAACGAGGCACAAGTGTTTCTACGTGTGCTCCTCAGGATCAGAGAGCACGAGCTGCTGTATCGTATCAATGCTCAGATGAAAGCCTTTAAGAAGGAACTGCAGAGTTTTATCGATCGGCTGGACGTACCCAGGCAGGAGGACAAACAGGCAGAAGAGCCACTGTCTGTAAGCCAACCCAACCACAGATAAAGGGTCATGTTTTCATTGACATGATGCAGATTTCTCATTCAAACTTCCTGTCGTTGTTCTTGATCCCCACTGCATCCACTCGTGGCCCATCCAGATGTTCCAGCCGATCATTTTACTCATTCTTATCCTGGTTCTGTTTTCTTCACTCTCATATGCCACCATTTTTAAGTTGGTGTTTCTTTTCACCCTGTTCTTTGTTCTGTAATTCTCAGGCTCACATTATTCACAATTTTCGTTGCTTTCTTTTAAATTCTTTTGTTCATTTCAGTTTTGTTACGTTGAACGCATCACATGATTCCACTCAAGGTACGAGACTGTTTCACTTTCCGAGTATGACTCAAGTCATTCATCTGCTGGGAGGCTTTCAACATTTATCGGGTGCTACGTGGAGCGACGGTGGGCTATGAGGTGAGTATTCATTTGTTTCTGTAAAAGCGAGAAATATGTTTTATTTTTTGCAAATGCAAGAAAAAAAAATTGTTGCAGATTTTACAACCAGGACACTCTTTTTAATTTGTTACTTAGATGCATTTTCAGGTTTGCAGTTATTGAGGTTGGTTGATGTGGATTTATATAATATAAAAACTTGAGCCAGTCACAAAGTCAGAACCGAATGCAGATAGGTTCAGGATCTCAATAAAAACCTTTTGATAATAGAAAAAAATGTCAGGACAGATGAATAAAAGCAGACAATCTAACCAAAAACAACAAGTGGTACACCACCAATCGCTGAAGGTTTTGAATAGTGAATGTTTGTAGTTTTGGAGATGTGTGTTTTTCTGGACTGGAATTGAACAATGAATGCAAGTAAACCTTAATGTTTTTAGTGCAAGATATTCAAGTGGGTATTAAAGTAAAGTACTATGTGTCGTCATCATTGTATGTTCCCATACAAGGGCGAAATGAGTTCTCTGCATTTAACCCATCATGCCTAGGATACACCCAGGTGGAGCAGTGGGCAGCTATGTAAGCGCCCGGGGAACAAATAGGGATTTGGTGTGTTGCTCAGAGACACCACAGCATGTGGGAATGGCTGAGGGTCGAACTTTCAGGTCCCAAGTCAGCTGCCCTGCTTCTACCCCACTCTCAGGGCCGTAAAAGGAGTTACACAAAGATAGTTGTTTGTTTGTTTGTTTGTCTGAGGCAGCAGCAGTAGAGTAATGGATCCTGGAGAGTGAAGGGTGCAATTTTATCCACCACCAGGTGCAGTGGTGGAACCAGTTCAAGTTCAAATTCAAGAATCTTTATTATCCCCAAGGGACAATTTGTTTCACAGTCAGTAGGCACATAAAACATCCAAACATTGAGACATTAAAATAAATGAACAGAAATCATCAAATGCTTGTTAGAAGCCTGATCACTACAGTGATGAATGAGTTTTTCAGTCTGTTCATCCAACGTCTGGGCAGCAGATACCTGCGTCCAGATGGAAGCAACCTAAACTCACCATGGAGTGGGTGATCAGGATCTGCCAGAATCAGCCTGGGGGTGGCCAATGGTGGCCTTGACCACCATTAAATAATCTTTGGGCACCCCAATCATTTGATAAAATTATACTTTTAAGCAACATAAAAAAATAGAATAGTTTTAGCAACAACAGCAAAAATTAATTATAACACAGAACAACAGACACTGAAAAAGAAACAAAACAAAAAAAGCCTGAAATCTCGGTCTAGACGCATTTCGTTTTCAGTTTACCTACTAAGGTTTTTAAATAAAACTATGAAACCAGAAGGTTATTAAATCCAACAGTGTAAAATTAACATGATAATAAACAAAGCTTGAGAGGTGCGAATACTGCAGCACCTCACAAAAACTCAAGCTCATAATAAATTCAGCCTTTGGTACAACGGTAGGGTCAAGATGGAATCTTGATAAAAAGTAGCTAAAAGCAGGTATTGTCTTTTTCCAACCATGTTCTTTAATGATGTTTAGACTTTGTGATCATTTTATGTCTTCTGCTGGTTATTTTGTGTTGCTTAACTCTGGAGTCTGTTTCCATTGTTTCCTGCTGGTTTAATTATATGTCTAGTTTAACAATTTACAGCTGATGAGCATTTAGTGGCTTATCTTTAGCGAATGTTTTGTGTCATATTTTGTGACTCGTTCCTTCACTGTCATTTTGCATTTCCTTATTTTCATGTTTTTATGTTGTTTTATGCAAAGTTGATAGTTTTGCATGACATTTTGTATTTAAATCTTGTCAACTCGTTGATTCAGCACTCACACTATTGTGTGCCTGTTTATACTTTTATGGGTTTTTTTTGGCATTTAAACTTGATCCATATACTTTGTTTTTCAGTTGTTCATTCTTCAAAACATTGAACTCGATCAGAAATAGAGTGATATGACAGCTACTTTTTTTTTTTATTATTTAACTTTATTTACAAAAAGTCACAGTAGAAATACATTTAGGTCTGTTTCATGACTTTAAAAACATTCTCTGAAGTTGACTTCAGCATATTTTTTGTCTTGTTATGCTCCATTTAGCCAGAGCCTAATTTTAGCTTTTAGCTACATTTTTGATCATTTTAGTTATGGCTTTAGCTATGTTCAGCTTTAAGCACCTCTTTTGCTTATTGTAGACTTTAGCTATGATTTTTACAAATTTTAGCGTATTAACTGTATTGCTGACTGAAGCTTTTCATCTACCATTATATTCATTTTAGCTTGAGTTCAGTCTGTTTTAATTTTAAGTTATGGTTTTGTCAGCTTTTAGCCATTGTTTTGCTAATTTTAGACAGGTCTTTGATCTTTTTAGCTTGGGCTGATCTTAGCTTCAGTTTTGCTTAAACTTATGAATTGCCTAATGTTTTAGCTGTGGTTTTCATTGTTGTCATTTAGTTAATTTTAGCTCTTTCTGACTAAACACTGATTTTAGTTTCCAGTTTTACAGCTTTAACTTTATTACTTAAGTTTGAATTTACCAATTGCAGCTTTCATCTATGATTTTGTTAATTTTATCTATGCTTTAGTGAATATTAGCGTTTTTTTGCTGAATTTAACTTTAATCTGCCTTTTTTTTAAACTTGTTAAGGATTTGCTAAAAGTAGCTTTTAGCAATGATTTTTTTTTTATTTGAGCTGTGTTTTTTGGTGAATTTTAGCTACTGTTTAGCTTATTTTAACTCCAGTTCTGACAGTTTGAACTTATGAATTTGCTAATTGTATAGCTTTCAGATATGGTTTTGCTAATGTTAGTCAGGTTTTTGATCATTTAACATTTTGTTAGTGTTTTAGCTGATTTTAACTTAATTTCTACCTATTTTAACAGTTCAATTGTTGCTTATCGTGACAACAAAGAAGCACACTCCTGTAGTTGAGAACAGGCTTATTAATTACTGAGAACATCAGCTTTACACAAGGCCGACTTCGGCCATCTTGACTCTGGCAGTCACATGATGAAGTTAGTTGCATTTATAACACACAAGTGTCATTATCACTGGTTATCATTAACACATCTAAACAACATTTTCAAGATACCACAACACAATTACTTTAGCTTTAAACCATGGTTTTGTTAATTTTAGCTATTTGCTAATTTTAGCATTTAGCTACTGTTGTGCTCATTTTAGCCTCAGGTCTGCCTGTTTTAACTTATAAACCATTGAGTTAAATCATTTACAACGTTCAGCACGCAGCAGTTTCTGTTCCCTCCTCCTGGATGAAGTTTTTCAGCAGAGACCTGTTTTTCTTTTTGGGTTGTGGGAAGTTGTGCAACATTCCGAGTTAAAAATGGCTCAGGGTGGGGTCCAAAAAATCAGGAGAAAAATGTGCTGAAGAGGGTTCTGACTGACCACTGGGACGGGTGGAATCGGTCCACTTCGTTCTTCATCACGGGTGGGTTGTTCACGTCACGCTTCCTGCATCAGGGCCAGCTGTTGGAGGAAGAGGAGGAGAGATGGGGAGGAAGGCAGAAAGGGGAGTTTTTATTCCTGTCAATGGCAGCATCATTTCAGCTGTAGGCTGCAGCTGCAGTTCAGTCATGCTTTCAGCTGAAGGAGCCTTACTGGACCGGGAGACACGGTAAGAGCTGCAGACTGGTTCCTGCGCAGTTAGATCACATGGACCGGATTATGTAACAGGTCAAATCAACAAACTGTAGTTTGAGATATCTCGCCTTCCTCGTGTATCCATGATGAGAAGTTTGTTTGTAGAATCACTTTTGGTTCCGCGGTGCGTAAATGGATTCGTTGCCATGGCTACAGCGCAACGTGTTGATGAGCGGTTCTCCCTGCAGCCGCGGGAGCACAGCCCTCCTGGTTACAGAGGGGGTAAAAATACTTCCGCTGCTCGGGATATTTTGGGGAGCTTGGGTGTTTCCTGGGTGTCAGACGGTCTCTGAGCTGGATCTGGATCTGGTTTGTCCCGGGAGCTCGGTGTAAACATGCGACGGAAAACCTGCGCGCAGCTGAACAGAGGCTTTAAAAGCTCAGGAGTGAGGGGGACCAGAATGACGGATTCACTGGTTCTGTGAAGACATGGATGGGGGGAAGGAGTCCAGTCCTGACAGGGTGACGGCTCCCCTGGGTGCTGCAGCTGGGTGGGACTCAGCCGGGTTTGGATAACTAACTCGAGTTAAAAGTTACCTGAAGTCGACCCAAGAGTTTCTGAACAGAAATGGCTGCCTCCGGAACATATCTTACAAATTGATTCGATTTTATTTGAGAGATGTGGAGTGCGTTTATTAACGGCACGGGGCTGCACGGCGCGGGCGGTGCAGGCGGGGGATACGTGCCCTCACAGGGGTGGGAGTTTGTGCCCCGATCCAGGGCGGAGAAGACGGACAGGGGCAGGGGCAAAACCCGCAGCCCGCTGAGGAGGGTCTCCTCTCCACCCACCCTCCTCAGTCACATCCAGGAGCCCCAGCTGGGCCCCTCAGCTGCAGGTAGAGGAGGGGAGGGTGGAGGGGGGACCCAGTTGGGCCTCAGGGGACAAATGTGTCCAGAAGACCAGCAGCAGCATTCAAGGCTTAAAAAGAAACTGGAGGATCTGAGGAAGAAACATGTTGAGGATAAAGAGGAATGGATGAGAGAGAAGGAGTCCCTGCTGAGAGAAGTGGCAAACATACAAGTAATCCCTGCAGGAACTGAATTTATGGATATATGATAGAAACATTTATTTACAGAGCCTCAGAGAACTTTACAGTTGGACGATGGAGCAGATCGTCCCATTCCTTTGTGTTTGTTTGACAATGTGTTTCCATGCAGGGTGGGGAGAACCGGAGGATTCTGCTGGACCTGAAAACGGTTTTGGAGGAGGTGCAGGGCGAGGTGAAGCGAGAGGAGGAGAAGAGGAACGAGCTCCAGCTGCAGTATACCAGAGACAGGTGTGCCTGGGAGTTGGAGAAGGCCGAGCTGAAGTGCAGGATAGCTCAGGTGAGAGACGGAGGAGCAGATTTGTACGTTT